GTCATACATGAAGAAACCGAGATATTTGATACTGAAAGTAGCTTTATGCAAGACAAACTCTTCATCTATTAACACGATAAAATTCTGAAAAACAACTAAATGAATGATTCGCTGGTTGAGAATACCAACAACTCTTGCACTTAAGTTTCATCCACGGCATTATACTTAATTACAAAGAGCTAAGGCTAAAAAACATCTTATTATTTTGTTAACTCCCTATAAAAAGTCAGACGCTAATGTACATGATTTATTTCCATTTTCTAAGTCTTGTAAATAGTCTGAACGTGGTTATTCTATAAGTAGCAGAGTATCAAAACTTATATAAAACCCCTCGTATATAAACCACTCCATCCATATGTATTGTTAACCTATCAATAAAGTTTTTGCTGAGGAACACACAAATAAAGTTGGCGCCGATATCAAATTGGGGACTGAACGGTAGAAAAGATAAAACTTTTCGTTTTTTATCTTACCTACTAAATTTCTGAAAACTTTTTAAGGACCCGACCTCACCTTTGTGCTGCAATTTAACAAGATAAAAAATGTTGTCCCTTTCGATGGAGTTGTAGGAGTTAACTCGAATGTTAGAAAAAAATCGTATTCAGTTTGAAAATCCCCCTGTTCTTTCTTTATTTCAATTCAGTCAACTCTTGGGTTACTTTTATGCAGGTGAGGTTTCAAGGTTTAACATAAACTAAGGTTAAGAGGATGATATAAAAAGCTCAAAATGATTATAAATTTCTAACCGTGGTAGGTCATCGTTGTAATATATCTGGCACAAAACAGTGCTACCCTAAATATGTGTCATTCGTAAACGTTCTTTGGAAGAACCACGTTGAGAGTTTTGCTCGACGTTTCAGCACCCTTTGGAGACATTTTCAAGATGGATACATTTCAGTCGTTTGATTGAGGTTTCAATGTTCCTACTCCTCAGTGTCGAGTGACGACTGGTCTTACGCTTTTATACTATCAGTACGCGCGGCAATGGTATGCGCTGACGTGGCCTGAGCGGTGCCGTTTGGGGTAGGGGGTCGCTGAAGTAGCGGTCGCCATGTTGCCGGAAGTCGTTTAGCGTCATCGGGCGTATTTAAGCTGTTACGCGGTTTTTTAATTTCGATGGCTTCGCGAATAATTCTCGATTTAAAGGAGCAGATGGGAGCGACAGTATTTGCTTTTTCAAACTCTATTTTGTGGCCTGTCTGAATATGATGTTGGGCTAGGGCTGAAGTAGTATCGGAATAATTGACTGATAGAGAATATTCGTAAATACGATTATGGATTCGTCGGTTTGTCTGTCCTATGTATGAACGTGGGCAACTGGAGCAAGGTATTTCGTAGACACCATGGTCTGCATTGGGGGTTTGGTCTTTTACGGATCTGACTAGATTGGACAGCTTAGAGTGAGTAGTGAAGATGGTTTTGATATTTAGAGGGTAAGAGTTCTACTGATCTTGTCAGTGACAACTTTAATAAAAGGTAGAAATATTTTGGGTTGATCCGGCGGCAAGGTTTCTTTTTTGGATGAAATGGGGTTTAGATGTTTTTGAACGCTTCTATTGATTTGGGTTTTGTGGTAGCCGTTTTATAAGAGTGTTTGTCTTATTGAATTGGTTTCGGATGACCTGTGATTGTCGGCGCTAAGTCGTATAGAACGGGAAATAAGAGTGTTGATAACTGAATTTAAATTTCTTTTTCGAAAGACTGCATTGTTATAATCAAACGTTTCTACAAGTTACCGTTGACTCAGCATCAACGACCGCCGAATAACTACAAAATGATTTACTGTAGATGTGTTAAAAGTCGAAATATTGGAGGGAGATCTGCTAATAAAGCATATTTCATTCCTTTTCAAATAATTAATAATTACCTTTAAATAATAATTAGTTGTTGACTGCGTTGTGGAAAACCTATTTTATTTCATCCGGTATATAGCTTGTAAATATTGTAAAAATCTTTCTTGTTGGAATTGTGTTCGACTTCTTCCGTTTTGTAGCAATAGGAAATAAAACGTAGGAATGCAGTTATACCCTTTTACCTTTTGAAACGTCACGAACACGATAGGATATTAATTTTTTCCCAAAGTATGTCGATGGTTTGGCGTGCCGCCGCTCGCAGCTTCAACTTCTCGGAGTATTGGGAATTGAAGAAAAAACCACATTTCCATCCTATTTCCTCAGCGTGCCGGCTTTCGTCTCGTCTCGTACGGTCGTTTTTCATTTTTCAAGCCTTGTTGGAATTCTCGTATTTTTGTTTCCATTACATTTAGTCACACTTTTGAAACATTCTTCTTGCAAGGACTGTCCCCCCAGCCCGCTCCCCTTGATACTGTTGGTGAAACGACAGATATATCACCGATATACCGCTTTTAACCACTTCAACACTGACATATTGAATTATTGCATAGCGTTTTCCTGCTTTTTATTCGTTAAACGAAAAATTTAAATAAGAGTAAACGATATTTTGGCACGCGATAACAAACAAGAAATATTTATACAGAAGAGGCCCAAAAATTGTGGTCTTGAATTTGGATTTTGTAGCATTATTATAAAGGCAGAGCAGTACCGAGTAAATTAGAAGTAATTTAGACTGCTCCTCATTCACCATCAATAAAACCCATTGCACTAATTTTAACAGAATTAGTTAATAACATGTCTCTATCACAAACAATCCCACGACCCCTACCTCCATATCCTCCTTGGTCTACAATCATTCCTCAGTTTAACACATCGCTTACAAGATTCGATAAACTTACAACACCCACAGAACTCATTAAAAAATCTTTTAAAGAAATTATATATACAAATAAATACGACATAGTACTCTACACTGATGCCTCGAAGAATGATACAGGAGTAGGCTGTTCTGCTATCACGTCAGATAAGCTTATCACATCATCTTGTATCCCCTCGTTTTGTAGCGTTCATACTGGCGAACTATTTAGCATATTTCAAGCTTTCAAATCTATTTCTTCGCCAAATAAACAAGTCAATCTATCCAAAATATATTTACTGATCATCCTATTGTCCAAAAGATCCTTGATTGTTACCAACTAATCGCTTGCCAAAAAATAACAGTTGCATTAATCTGGCTACCATCCCATATTGGTATTACAGGCAACGAACTTGCAGACAACCATGCAAAACTTGCCTCAACGTCATCTGATAATACGGTTAATATACAAATTACAAAAGATTTAATGTCACACTTTAAGAAACGAGCAAGAACCCGATGGCAACAACACTGGGATACCAATAACTCAGCATTACATCAAATCCAACAGTTAGTCGATAGTCCCCTTGATTTGATCTCTACCGGTATGTCCAGACGAGACGCCATTGTAACACGAAGACTTCGAATAGGACATACAAGATTAACACATGGATACATGATGTCATCCAGCAACCGACCCACTTGTGAGACCTGTCAATCACATCTAACAGTTAACCATATTCTCACCGAATGTCATCTATATTCAGCAAAAAGACTATTTTATTGCCTTAAAAGTGATCTAAAAGACATACTCAATAACTTGGATCAAATAACCTCAAGTCTAAAATTCCTCAGAGACGTTCAGTTATATTAAAAAATATAATTTTGAATAATTGATGAATTCGACCGTTACTTGATGGAAATTCATTTTATGTTACAATAAAACACTGAAAACTTTGTTTTCAAACTTCCACAAAATTTATTTTAAATATTATCACTACAGCTGTTTCGGCTGATTGCCTTTCTCAAATGATCTATTTTGGCTTGGGTTTACAAATTTATAGTCTCTAATGAAATAGGTAGAGGAGGGGAGAACTGTTTGTCTCAAGTTGGTCATTCAGAATTATATCTGTGTTTTTAATTTGTTGATTTCCATAGATTCTAAGAAAGATAGCTTAAGGCCTTTATTTCGAATGTGCAGAATTTTAAATTTGTCATTAAAAGAATGATTATGATCTAGAAGGTGAAGTGCGTATGTCGAATCTGTTTTTCTATTTTTGAAAACCCTTTTATGTTCTGCTATTCGTTTAGCAAAGTTTCTACCAGTTTGACCGATGTAAGTTTTTGGGCAGTCGCCACATTGAAGTTTGTACACACCACTATTTAAGTGTTTTTTATTTTGGCTCTTGTTATTTTTAATGTATTTGTCTAGGTTATTTGTTCGGGAAGCTGGTGTTATTCCTTTCTTTTTTAACAAGAGCCAAAATAAACACACTTAAATAGTGGTGTGTACAAACTTCAATGTGGCGACTGCCCAAAAACTTACATCGGTCAAACTGATAGAAACTTTGATAAACGAATAGCAGAACATAAAAGGGCTTTCAAGAATAGAAAAACAGATTCGACATACGCACTTCACCCTCTAGATCATAATCATTCTTTTAATGACAAGTTTAAAATTCTTCACATTCAAAATAAAGGCCTTGAGCTATCTTTGTTAGAATCTATGGACATCAACAAATTAAAAAACACAGATATAATTCTGAATGACCAACTTGAGACAAACAGTTCTCCCCTCCTCAACCTATTTCATTAGAGACTATAAATTTGTAAACCCAAGCCAAAATAGATCACTTGAGAAAGGCAATCAGCCGAAACAGCTGTAGTGATAATATTTAAAATAAATTTTGTGGAAGTTTGAAAACAAAGTTTTCAGTGTTTTATTGTTAAATATAATTTTGATTGTATCATAACAGTATGTACTCTATAACATAATTTTGTAATTTATTGTAACAGTTTTACATTTGTAACCGTTTTCGTGTAAGTGGCCTTTTGTTGCCGAGCACGTTAATTTTCAATAAAAAAAAAAAGATATTTAATCAATTTTATGGATTTAAATATGTTAGAAATCATTTAGGAATTATTTAAGCAATGGACTCATAACAGGTTCCATTCTGTTATTATTTTTTTCCCTTCGCCCAAAGGCTTTGGTCTTGATTTCTGTTGTGATAACAATATTTTGCTTAATGACTTCTTTGTGGTTTTATTTAATTGTTTGTTTCTTTTTGCAGGTAAGTGTCATGCCAAAAGATTCAGATTTATCTTCAGAAATAGTAAGTAAAATAATATCTATATCCATTTCAACTTAAAGTGTTGTAACTTTTAATGAGGTGTAAAGATAATATTGAGATAATCCTGGTAAAATCATTATCCTGTCAGCGAAATAAAATCAGAAAATAATTATATCTAAGAAAACTCTATTGAAGGTTTTTTTCCAATTCCGAAGGCGTTCTCGTAGCTACTATTAACAAAATTAAAAATAGTAACGATCGAAATATTATTTTTGACTTCTCGTTATTAATACAGACATCATAATGAACATAAGAACTTTTCCATGTTTTTTTGGCACAGAGTTCCACTGAAAGACTTCGTATTCCTTTGAATTTATTATTCGACTTCGTAATGATGAATTCGTGTTACGTTTTATTCAAAAATGTTTCTTTCAAATTGGCGGCAAAGTTTCGGAATAAGTCAGTATCTAAATATTTTCTCGTTAAAAGTATTTTCAGAGACAGGCGGAAAATCTTGTTGAAATTGATATTACTACCTTTTCTTTTCTTCTTGAGAGAACTTTGATTTTGCTGAGTATTTCGGTGTAAGGCAGATTTGCTAGAATACTTTAATAATAAAATATAATATTTTATACTGTATCGAAAAATGCCTCTTATTAATACTGATTAATACTGATGACCAATCAGAGATATGAGCATGCAAGGCATTGTTAAATGCCTTGCATGAGAGGCATTTAACAATGCAATTGAGAGGGCAGCATCTGATTTTGATGGCCATAGACAACACGTCTGTTGTCTAAGGCCATCAAAATCAGAGAGAACGATTTTTCCATTGCATTGTCCCAGAATGTCTGTACTTTTAGCTGGTAGGGATTAAAATCTTTAAGGGGAATTATTACGAAGGGTTGGATTACAATTTGAAATTGAAGGTGTTAATTATAGGAATGATATACCGAAAAATTTAATATTGTTTTTCGCATGTGAAAAATTAGACAACCCCTATTACTTGAAGCTCTACTAATATTTAAGTATCCAATTGTAAAAAACAGCCCCTTTTCATTGCTAACCATCACCCCATCGACAACATCTTTTGATCTACGTATTTTACCGAATCCTCTAGAAATTCTGGTACAAGAAATCCAGGGACTGGTAATATTTCCAACAATATCGCCAACTGCTTATATTTCAGCAGTTCAGCAGTACAATTAAAATCCATTGTATCGGCCTAAGGATCAAGTGCACATTGTTGACTCTAAAATCGCATTGTAAGTTTTGATTATTATTCATCATTTAATTATTTATTTTAAAAGTATAAAAATTTATATGTGAAGTATTTGTCCTTTAGTAGAAACGTATTGAATCTGTGTACTACCCTGATTTCGGGATATTTAATTCGTATTAAATTCAACCCAATTATATTTTCAACTTCATAAAACAAAAACACCCAACAGCTTTTTAATTCAACAACCCCAAAACGAAAATAAATTTATTTTAAAAGCTTAAAAGCAAACGAAAAAGAGTTTCGTTAATTAGCACCAATATTGGTCTTTCCCACAAACTTTGTCCGATTTTCATTATTGGCAATGGAAAACTCATTTGAGTAAGGGTTTCAATGAGATTTTAATTCGAAATGGAAATTTTTTGTAGAATTTTGATAAAAACTCTTTAAAATCCATTCGTTTTCCTTCGGGCTGTGTTAAGAAGAGCATATACCAGATGATACATCTTTTGGTGGGTTAAATAAAATGTGATGTGGTTTTTAATTGAATGTATGGTTTGATTTCTTAATTATTTTGGGACTCGAAAATATTTTTCATTAATGGTGTGTATTAAAAATTGAATGGCATGAGATGTCTCATCGATAACTATACCAAATACTGTCTGTATTACTATACAAATAATCATCGTATTTGTTCAGTTGTATGCTGAAAATTACCACAAGATTATTTCAATAGTAAATATATCATTAACCGTCTGTACATCATCCTGACGTAAACCCCTGTTGCTCCTCTACTACGAGTATACTAGATTTGAAAATGCATGATAGCATATATTTTATGGCAAATCTTAAAACTTTTTACAATCATATCCCATCCAAAGTTATTATTTTATTTGTAGTGGTAACTTTACAGGCATATAATAGAAAGGAAAAGTTTACATCAAGAAAGTAACAAAACGGGATAAAATTGATAGAATTTGCAATGGAGAATAAAAAGAAGATAATCAGTACACAATTCGACCATAAAGACATATATAAAGTAACGTGGATATCGCCAGATGGACAGAGTAAAAACCAAATCGATCACATATTAATAGAAAATAAACATGCCAGAGCTATCAGAGATTGCAGCCAAACTTAAAGAAGATCTACCTGCAAAACTAAATGTTTTTAAATACAGAAAGATATATGGCCTTACTTAAGGAGCAACAAGTGGCAAAGAGGTTAGAAAATAAGATTAATGCAAGATTAATCGAAATTAACATCGAAACATCGATGACAGAAGCAATTAATGTTTGCTTAGACAATACAGGAGCGAAGAGAGAAGAAGACTGGTTCGACAAGGAATGTAAAATAGCAGTAATGCTAAGAAATAAGGCAAAGTTGGAAAAAGACTATAACCCAAGAAACAATTGCAGAACATGAGACGAAAAAGAAAGAAGCTAAAAGAATCTGCGGGCAAACAAGAGAGAATGTTTGGAAAAAAATTAAAAACAATAGGAGCATTACATTAGCAGAGAAGTGAAGAGAAACAGACAAACAAATAACACGGAAACAATTTTTTGTAAGAATAAGGAAGGATTCCTCCTTGGAAATACTGCAGAGAAATTAAACAGATAAGCAATATATTTTGAAGAACAGATGCGCAGTCCCATCATTATGTGTCCCAGATATTGTAACTTTCTTATTTTTATTGTGTTGAATATTTTCTATTCTTTGCCCATTTCTCGCAATACTTCCATGTTAGTTTTCTTCTGTGTCCATGCTATTCTAATCATCCTCCTGTGACATCACATTTCAAAAGACTGTAACTTATTTATGTGTTCTTGCTTCAATGTCCAGCTTTCGAATCCATATTGCAGTATCAAAAACACGTAGCATTTCAGTGCTCTTACTATCAGTTCTAATCTAAAGTCTTTGTTCCAGAGAATTGTTTTCATTTTTACAAACGCATTTCATGCTATTTCTATCCTGGCTCTTTTTTTGGTTGTTTGATCATTATTGTCTGAAATCCAGGTTCCTAATGTATGTTTATTGGTATATTTGTTTTCTTTGTTATTATCATCTATTTGGTCTTTTTTACATTCATTTTTAGTCCATATTTTCCTTCACTTTGAGATAATAATGCTTCTTCAAAAATGGCTTCACTATATACATTAAATAGGGGATGGGGACATCGTACATCCCAGCCTAACTCCTCTCGTGATTTCAATTTCTGGACTGGGTCCGTTATCTATTATAGAGTAGAGAACACATAACATTATTAAACATAACAAAATTATGCGGCCCAATCTAAATAAAATGTTTGAGAGAAAATCGACTCATCATAAAACTATAAATACATTTAAGTTGTTAAATCGCCGTGCAATCATTTAACATGAATGTCACGTCTACTTAAAAACTCCTTTTAGAAGAGCACAAAAGAAATTTTATACAATTTTAAAACAGTCGTCTGAATATCAAGCCTGCCTTATATTTAATTCAATAGTATAAAGTTGAAGCGGCATTAGGATTTGATTTTTCAGGAAAAGAGGAAAACGTGTAGAGATTTTCTGGAACTGTCTTTTTTGCCGAGAGATTTATATGCAAAATGTCGAAAATTATAAATTAAATATTAATGTCGTGACAAGGGAGACTGTTCTCTTTTGTAATAACTCAGTTTTTTTATCAAAATTTGATCTTTGATGCTTTTGAATACAATTTTTGTTTTTTACAAGATAAAGGAAAGCTCATAAAGGATTTCTCTAAAAAACATTATGCTGCTCAAAGTCCAGAGATAATAAAGACTTATTATGCATTTCCTGAATAGAAAAAAAAGAAACGCCAAAGATAATTGTACAAGAGATCTAAAACTAATTCATTTTTTACATTTTTATTAAAAAAACCTTCGTAAAAGGTGTGTATACAGAGTGGCCCAAAAGTCTGGAAACAGCTAATTATCTCTTAAATTACTAGACATATTTATACAAAATTTGAGATACGCCCATTTTGGGATACGGAGATTCCATATTTGGTATTTGCAATGTTGCCAAATTTTCAGTTTCTCGTATATTACTAGTAACTTTGGTTTTTCAAATGCATCACCCTGTATATTCAGTCATTATTGGAATCTCCTATTAAATACGAGTTCAACCATATATAACACTTATGATTTTATGTAGCCTGGAAGGTCTTAAATACATAAAACATAAGTCTGGCAACGCCTAAATTGTTTCAATATATTTTTTAATACTAACTATTTTCAAATACATTAAAACGTAACAATTGATAGTTTAGAATATTTTTTAACATAATAGTTACGTTATTAAGTGTTCAAAATGTGCTCCATTTGTGAGTTGACAGCACTCTAATCGATGGTAGAATGCGTCTACCACATTTCTCCATGATTGTCTAGAAATTATTCGAGATTCATTGCCTTAGGTATGCAAGACTTGCTGGTTAAGTTTTGGAAAATAAATTTTTCAAGTATCTCTAATAAAAATAATCTTTAGGATTGAAATCGGGTGAACGTGGAGGCCATTCAATTCTACCTTGTCTACCAATTTATCGTCCAGGAAATATCACGTCAAAAAATCAGGATCATTATTAATATCATAGAAAAATCCATATTTATACTAGCTAGCTACTATACGTTAAGCTTCTGTAAACCAGAAAAAGCAATAAACTGTTAATTAGTGTCAACAACTTTATGCTCAAGTCAATAAATAAAAATTGAGCTCGATGGTCAGAAAACAAGGTTCAAATACGCCCACTCTATAGATATTTTCAGAAAAATTTGTCATAATGTTGTCAATGTAACTACTGGACTGGGATGGGATTCTAG